TAAAGCTCAACAAAAAGTGCTGGTTAAAAATGTAAGTCTCTTGCAAGCTCTTTAGTATATCTATTTGTGTGTATACACATATATACACACGCTCTTTAATTTAAGCTCTTTAGTGTAACGTAAGCTTTTTAATATGTATCTGTTCTTCTGAGCCTTGCACTGTTCCCTGCTTCCAGTGACACCTTTTGCCACTTTGGGGGCACAACATTGATTCAAAACACGTGCATCTCAGGAACAGTGCGAGTTTGGGAAAAATAAATAATGACAGGATGTGGGTGGGAGGCTGACTTGCCTTTCCCAGTGCAACAATTATTTGTGAGAAAATATTCCCCATGTGCGTTCTAGCAAATGTAGAAAACCAGATGCCCTGACTATGAGATCCTCCTACTTAAATTGAGCACTATTTCATTGTGGCTTAGACTGTCACTTTATAGGCTGCTCTGGCTTAAAGGCAGCCTGTGCTAATGTTGCCTTAGGAAGAGATCAAGGAAAAATCCTGGTGATCCAAGAAGCCCAAATGCCCTGGCCGTGGAGGAAGAAAGCCACTGACCTCTATCAAGGGCTGACTCATTCTCACAGAGGGCAGCGCTCTGGTCAGTTGTGAGGCAGAGAACAGAGTCGAGAGTTTCTGCCTGTGGTCTTGCCATCTACATGGAGGAGGGGAGGAATAGTCCCCCAGAGCCAGCCTCCACCCAGCTGGGTGCTACCCGTACCTTACCCCCAATAAAAGCACAGGAATCACTTATAGCTGGTTGGCTCATTTTGCAGCTTTAAAGGGCAAGGAACAACCTCCTGTTGTGTCAGCAGCCTCCAGTGAAATCAGACACATTATTTGTTTCATAAGGTTAGCACTTTTGAATGCTTGAGCAAAGGTGGCAGAATTTGCTCCTAAATAGTATTTGTGCCACACCATACGAAAAATCTGTCCGTCTGCTTCTGACAGCCATTAATTTTGCAGCGTGTGCTTTCATATTGAAATACGCATTAGAAGAAGGGTACAGCTGAAGTAGTCTGCAAGGGGCAAGCACGTAACATGAGGGTGACGCTAAAATGTGGAACTAGATTGGATGAGTCGGAAGACAGGCTGCTTTCCAGTTTACTTTTGAGTTAGGGTGAGGAGCCAAGAATATCTGAAGGGGGTTCATAAAATCAACACAGCCCAACTCTTATTGGTAGTGGCAGATGGAACAACAAGGGCCAATGGCCACAAAGTACTGCTTTGGACATTCAGATTGGATATGAGGATAAGCTTCATCCCCAGGAAGGTAGCACAGCGCTAGGCCAAGTTACCCAAGAGCTTGTGGAGGCGCTCTCATTGGAAGTTTTCAAGGTTTGCCAAGACAAAGCCATAGCTGACCTGCTCTGGTGCTGGTGATCATCTGGCTTTGAGCAGGAGGTTGGGCTGGGCACCTCCAAAGGTGCCTTCCAGCCAACACTTCCTAATTCTGCAAATGCCAAAGGAAGAAGTCTGGTCATGAATGAGAAAGGCATCAGTCTTCACTGTTTCCAGTTATGCTCTGGTCCTATTCCCTCCGTCAGATAGAGCAAGAGGTTGGGTGGTATTTGCCACATGTCTGTCCTGGTGCTGCACATGGGTTTCCCACCAGTGGAAACCATGTGTGGGGGAGGACTGATAGGGGAATAGTGGCTGCTAACACATAGTCAGGTCTTACCCTGATACAGTGTTCACAGTCCGTGTTAACTTTATTTATCTTGGTTGCATATTAGATATCATATAAAAACAGATTGTGCTGGAGTTTTGGATGAAGGGTTAAAAACAATCAATTGATAACCATGGATTTGGAGTAGCCATGCAACCCCCTGGGACCAGCCCTCGGAGAAGTTACAAGATCTCCGCTCTCACTAGAGCCGATGGCAAGATTTTACTGGCCAGGGAGGGAAGAGGTGACACAGCAGTTTTGGACAGACCTCATCATAATAAAAAAGTTCAGTGCAGCCGTTCTCAATATACGTGTAACCCACCAGCATGGAATAGAGAGTTTCTTATACAACTAGCTGGAGTGAAAGTAGTCACTGAAAGAGACTATACAGATTATATTGCTGTATAAATTATTGAGCTAATGTTCTGGAGATGATAGAGAAAACCCTTCTTTCTTCTGTCCTGAGGATGACAGCTCTGAAAAGTTTATACTTGTTATCTGAAAGTTGTACCTCCTGTAAGCTCTGCTTAGTTAATCAGATTTACAGTATCCATCGGCCATAGGATAGATGTAATATATAGAGAAACAAGAGGAATTTATACTTATGTATTGATTCAGTTGTGTTTTTTTCTTTTTTCTTTTTTCTTTTTTTTTTGCCATTTATTGAATAATGCCATTGAATAAATGGCAACAAATTAGGGTTTTAACCTTTATTTTGGTTATTATTTCTGAGCAATAGTTATGAGCACTGGTGAATAACAGACAAGACATAGCTCTGCATGGCTGTAGCTACAGAAGAGACACGCTCCATCCATATGCTTTTTCTTAGCATCTGCGAGTACACAGACTACTCCCAAGATCTGAGTGGGAGAGCTGTGCTGCAGCTGATACCAACCGTCTCGTTCCCCTACATGCTGCATATGGTCTGGCTGCAACCCTGGGCTTCCTGGAGCCTAGAGATTCCCTCTGCCTGAAGGCAGGAAGCTATTAGCTATCCCCAAATACAGAAGGGCTGCGTAGGGCAGCTCCAGCTCTCCCCGACTCTAGGAGGGAATAGGTTCCTCCTGCTGTATGGCAGCAGTTCTGGGCTGTTTTGCAGGAGGACCTTTTCTCAGATTAACCTGACCCCTCTCCCTCGTGTGAATTCCTCACCTCTCCTGTTGGCACCCATGACCACATGCTGGACGTGGAGGTGTAAGCACTGGATGCGGTGTTGTGCATATTAGCAGAGAACGCTAACCGGAAGAGCCTGCCTACTGCTTGGGGAGCAGAGCTTTACCTACAGGCACCTTCTCATAGTGCTGGGATCCACCATCTTTGTATGAGTCCCCTTCCCTCCCCCTTCTCCCAGAGCAAGTCCTTCCAAAGAGACACAGCCAAGACACCTCCCGATTGCAGAGACTTTTCCCAGTGGCTTAAAGGAAAGAAGCATCATATCTGGACACAAAGGAAGCAGAGATGTGGGATGAGATCAACTGTGGCACTTAAAATTACAAGTGCGTAGAGGTTTTCAGAAATAAAAATGATGGCCATCTCATTCTCTCTCCCCCAGGCTAGAATAAAAGAGAGAAATAGCTGTGATTGTGTACAGGGTTGCTATTTGTTCAGCTGTACAGTTGTGTTCTCTGGACACGTATCTGCAGCGGGTGGAAGGCATTATTGAGGGAAAGCAACCCCAAAGCAAGAAGTTTTCTATTTCATGTGGCTGTTGTGAAAACTGCGGTCATTTTTCATTTCCAGCATTCTCTTCAAAGGACTTTGCCTCTTCAATTCATTTCAACTGGATTGGCAAAAATCAAGCCAGGTCTATTGATCTCTGAACACTGTAATTTCAGATACTTTTTTCTGAAAGAGATCTTCTGGTTTCCTCCTGAGGACAAATGCACTGCAGCAGGAACTTCATTCAACAAGAGCCAAATTTTTAGACTCATTCAGACATCTGACAGTAAAGAGAGATGCCTCAAGGGATTTGTGACTAACTCATCCACAAGGCTGTCCTTAGCTACCTAAATATCTTTGAACGCTGTCTGCTAGAGCCTAAGTGTGAAGACTCACTTCTGTAGAAGTGCAGGAAGATAGAACAGAAGGAGCTCTATTGTAAAGGGGGAGGGAGTTATTTATACCGACTTTTTCGTTATTGTGATTGTTTTCTGATTTTGCTCTTCAGGCCCCAACACGGGCATATTTGTAAAAGGTCAAATGATAAGAAATATTTGGTATGTTCCACCCATAGCACTCTGCTCTGCCTAATGAATATTTCAGTGACCTATTTAGAGCAAGCAGCATTTATTGAACAGAGTAGTCAAATGCAGAGGGAAACAGAAGCCCACTTGTCCTTGTGACAATTATATGTCTGTCTCTATATGTGTAATCCACCCTCTCAGCCTCTCAGATAAACAAGAGCCTGTGCATGGGTTTTGAAAGGAAGGTGAGCATCACCTTCTGTGATCTGAGTATTTTCTTGCTTCAGCTAGCCTGTAAAGCAGGTACGTCTTAGCCTTTGCACTCTAATACTGCTCATGACCGCAGTCTCACCTTGAATTTCATTCTGGCTTTTTAAGCTCTCTCCCGGCACTTGATCAAAACAATGTTTCCCTTTGACTTGATTTCTATTTTTAGTTATTTTTCCACTCAGCTACTTAGTAACTAATTACATTTCCATCTTTTTTCAGTTTTAGTAGTACTTCCCTGTCTACCTTCTTACTGCATGCCTGATGAAGCCGGCCCGCTGGAGTCCCTCGCTCACACTTGTTTATTCCAGGTGACTTATGGGAAAAAAATCTGCCCAAACAGCAAGTCCAAAGACAGTAAAAGCTGATGCTCCAATACTTGCGTCTCTTCATTATTGGTGACTTTCCTCCAACTGCCTAGGAAACTGGTGTGTTAGGGTGGAGCTTTCTGCATAAATGCACATTCACTCTAGTCAAGGTTACCTCATTTTCTTGGGGAAACTTTTGGACGAACAGATGTGAGGATGTGCGCTGTCAGAGCATTCTTCATTTTGCCTGTGTTTTCAGCTGTGGGTACAAAAAGTTTCCTTTTATAGTAACTTTGCAAATTGGATGCACCATAGAATACTTTTTTAATTAAAGCCCCTTTCTTTTACTTTTTAGAAGTAATTGCTAATTACTTGAGGGCAATGTTTCATTTTGATAGTAATGCAGCCTTGTTCACACACGTTTAACAGGACTGATCAGCTGAAAACCCATTTGTTCAGTTCTGGTAACAATTTCTGTCTTCAGATGTTCTCCATCCCTTTCCCAGTACTGGACTTCTGCTTGGTTTCTGTGTAATATCCCTGATTCTCGTTCTTTGGATGCAGCTACTCCACTTGCTGCTATGTCCATGCCACTGGAGGATGCTATGGACACCTTGATCAGGGTTTTTCATCATTATTCTGGCAAAGAAGGAGACAGATACAAGCTCAACAAAGGAGAACTCAAAGAGCTCCTCACCAGTGAGTTCACTGACTTCCTTTCAGTAAGATGCAGCTACTGAATCTCTTTAGTTAATGTTTAATGGGTGGGATAAGCAGTTACTGAAAGGTTCAGGAATAGCATTTCCATACACAATGCATACCCTGCCACAGCTTCTCAGAGGACGGTTGTCTCTGTGGAGCCAGAGAGAAGGCGATGCGATCAAGTGTGCCATTTGAAAAAGAGTTTTATAATGGTGATCTGGCTTCTTTCTGGTGGTCTGCCATCTGCTATGAGCAGCAGAACTGGGTACTCTGCACCGTTCTTTTGAACAGAAGTGCCAAAAGTAGACTAGAAGGAGTAGCCTAATTGTATTAAAACAGGCTTTAATCAGTTTTCTTAATTAGAGAGGGTAGATAAGTCCTTATAAGAATTAAATTCAGCAACTAGTTCTCAGGAGACAAGAAAGAAGTTTGAGCATAATGGCCAGGCAGTGTGTGGAACTTCAGGTCTATTAGATTCCTTGAGGCCTTGTAAATATATCATACACAGTTGTTACACTGATTTTTGGGAAACCACAAACACAGTGCATCTTCTTATCCGCCCTGCAGAGCGCTATGAAGAAAATCCTTCCAGTGATAAGCTGCTGATATGAATATCTCTTTGCACATTTGTTATGCTTCTCATTACACGGCATTGATGTTTTATGGAATAATGACCTGACACATAATTGTTTTCTGTATCCTATTCATTGTAAGAATTTGTATGGTCCCTATCACCATCAGCAGAATTTTTTTAAGACATTGTATCCCTTTTCTTGAGTTGGATTTTCTTTTAATCTTGACTATTGATTTATTATTATGGCATTTGCTGTCCTTACTCCCACTGAGTTGGATGCTATTTGCTAAATAGGGATCTTTGAACATGACAAATAGAGGCATAATACGACCACGTATGAATAGCCTCTTGAAAATCTAAGTACTGTTTGTTATGGATGATACAGAGGAATGTACATTATAGCTCAAACTTGCCAAGAGAAATCAGCGCTCAGCATGTCCTAAAACCTATTTGATTAATGTCAGTGGCTATTTAATACCTGGATTCTTTCTACGAGCTATCTTCAGTTTTTGTTGCTGTGCACTTTTGCAACTCCAGGCCTATGTTTTTGATGCTGAGAATAGTGGTATATCAGTAATTAAGTGCATATTTCACACAACCTTTTATTTAATAGCACCTGGGCTTGTGGCGTACCGCTAGAGTGCACTGTCAGGTGGGCTAGAACTGTGCACTCAAGATCTGCACAGCTAAGTCACTTTTCTTTTCTTCAGGGCCAAAAGGATCCCCTTCTGGTCAATAAGATTATGAAAGATCTGGACTCCAATAAAGACAATGAAGTGGATTTTAATGAATTTATGATTCTGATTGCTGCTTTGACTGTGGCATGCAATGATTTCTTTGAAGAACAGCTAAAGAAAGAGGGAGTTTAGAAATGCTCAGTAGGCTCAATCTCCCAGCCACAAGCGTAATTGAAACATGCCTAGTTAGGTAGCACTCATCAGCGTTTTGTGAATGCAGACCGTCATCTGTCCAACTGTTACTGCTGTAACAGATCAGCAGCTGGTGTCAGCTGAACCAAAGCCAGCTTACGCTACTTCAGATCTGGCTCTTAATACTTCCAGTCTTTGGCTTCTGTGTCTGTAGCATGCATTCATCAGTTCCCCAAATCAAGGGCTTGGGGTGACAGATCGTTTGAGAGGAGTCTCAAGTTAAGACTTACAGTATTTTAATGTTGGTGTGAAGTCAAAGGAACATGTATGTTACTTCTACATGTTATGAATGGGAACATTTGGAACGAAACATAAAACTTGCAGCTTGTTTTTCTGTCATTCTGTAACAAACTAATATTTTTGCAGATCCAAAAGAGCTGTTTGGTTTTTGATCAACTCTGCTTATTTTAGGCCCCTTTTTAGAAACTGCTCCATACTTCCCCACACTCCCATATTTCAGATACAGTCACAGCCACCTCCTGCCCGCCTGAGCAGACTGTACCATTTGCCATTGTTACGGGTTTGTTTTCCTCACCTCCGCCAGCTTTGATTGGGTTGTGTTTGCATTGCTGCATCCCCATAGTCTACCCCTTCATTCAGTGTTAATTAATTTATTCGTATGATAAATTATTCAGAAACAGGGGATTTAGTCAGCAAACTGCTCCGAGGATTAATGGGAAAACTGGGTCTTCAGGGGAGATGTAAAAGCCTTCTGCTTGTACTGTTCTGGCACCCTTAAGAGGAGGACTCTTAGAGGACAACTTGTGGGGGTTTTAATGACAGGATCTCAGGTACAGCTTTATAATGTGAGTCATCTTATGTAACAATTATGTCATCTCATGCTGATCCAGCTCACTGCGTGGTCAAAAGTGTTGCTGTGTGCGAGGCAAAGGGGGCAGTGGGACGCCATGGCCGGTTCCGGAGAAAGTGGGACAGTCCCTTTCCGTGCTAACCTGCTCTTGGATTGAATGGCACGTACTTTCAGACCAAATCCTCAAGGGAAGGGCATCAGGGGATGGGGCCCGTGGCTTTTTTCTCTCACAGAGATCTCGTATTGTTCATTATTGCTTTGTTGGTAACTTCTAACTATAATAAAAGGCATCTGGATTTAGTGAAGGTTTTCTGTTTATTTAAGAGAGGGGAAAAAAAAAAAGCCCTCGATGAAGTCATGCCTGCTGGACAATTTTTGGAGAATGCAGTTCACTTCTCTCTCCTCCCCAACCTCCTGGAAATCATTCAGTAAAGACTGTAATATCTGTATGATATTATATATCATTAAATTGATGTAATTTATTATAAGAAGGGGATTCTATAAGGTATAATAAATATAACAAGAGGCAGACATTATCCCCAGAAGGAGGCCAGCACTTGATGATGTTATCCTGGAACAAAAGGGACTTTGCAGTGGTAGCAGAGCCAGAATATACTACCTCTTTTTATAGTATGTTTATAGGATTCATGAAAGATCTTATAGGGGAACACTGCAAAAAAATGTTGAAGTAAAACAAATAACAGTTGCACAGCTTTTTGCTGTGATGTCATGAACCTTAATAACATTGCAATTGTGGGACTAGGATGACAGGCGTATCAGCCGGAAAAAGCAAGACAACTTTTATGATCCCCTACGGGTCCTGCAGGCTGTTGCTGGTCTCTCAGCCTTTCCCCTTCTTATGCAGGGAAGGGAGAGGAAACTAGTCTAAAGCTTTAGCCTAAAGCTAAAAAAGGAAGAATTTTCCCAATAAGGGCCAGTTTATCCATTAAAACTTTTGAGCAAGAGGCTTTTCAGAAACAAGCTCTAGAAAGCTCGTAAATCTGCTGCTGTTCCCTGATGAGACACTGTACATGTCACAGCCCAGGTACTGAGCAGAACTGTACTAAGTCCCAGCTGGCGGTGGTGCGACACTGGGGTTGGGCAGGGAGAGTGGCTGCTGTGACGGAGCGGGTCAGTGGAGCCATCTCATCTGCTGAATTTACTAGGGCTTCAGCGCAGCCTAATTCCTGTGCAGAAGGGGCTTACTTATAAATGAGCTATGTGTGATTCAGAGAATGACTCAAATGATCTGTATTCCAACAAAAGTTTTATAAAACCTCACAAATCACTTTTTTTTTGGCTTGGCTGGTTAGGTTTTTCGTGTTGCCATTTTAACTACAAAGACAAATTTTAAACTCTTACCAGCTGTAGAGAAGAACCTTTTTTACATAAGGAATGGATACCCAGCAGAAAAGCAAGAAAATGTACCCAAGCACATTCAAAGGCTAGAAAACAAAAAGCTCTGGCACAGTCTGGTGCTCTGGGTTAAGGACTGGCCATCCTAATCCTGAGCTAGCTGTGGGCTGACTCACTGGACTGGTATGGATTTACCTTAGCTGCCATTCCTCTCCTACAAGAGCCAACTGGTGCTGCATTAATAGACACCACTTCTAGGGAAGTTACCCGAAATCTTTCTGTTCTGGGGGAAGATCATCTGAACCTTTTGAACTGCCTCAGAGCCAGAAAAAGCTGTGAGCAGTCTTCTTTTCTATAAAAAAACCTGAGGAAAGAGAACTGCACTGCAGCCATTCACCCTGACTATGCGAGATGGTGCTTGCATGGCCAGCTGATCTGTCGCTACAGCTACTTTGTGCTGCAGATGTGAGCATTTTACTTTTAGCTTCCCTCAAAAGGGAAAAATGCTGCTTTAAAAACCAAGGCATTTCTGTTTTCTCATTATTTGCTGATGTTTTTCTTGCTGACTTCAAGTTTGCCTGAAGTTCATGAATCTAGGAACCACTTTAAAGTTTTAATGAAGAGGAAGCTTGCTGCATGGCTTTGGCCATAGGAAAGGTGTATAATTACAAGCATATTTTCATTTGTCTTATCAGACTGTCTGGAAAATCAACAGAAAAGTGAATACCACGGTATGGCCTGATATTTGCAAGTTGCATTTGAAGACCAACAAAAATACTGTGGTGCCAGACGAGATCTTTTCTATTTATTGTGAAGCTGTTTTGTCTGACATCTAAAAAGTAGATTTTGAGAAGATGAATGATATTATCTTGAAAGCTTCAGCCTTTGCCGTTTACCTTTATTTCAGTTCAAAGGAAATTGTAAGTGCCAGTGAAACTGGATACATGAAGCTTGATGCACTATCTGTAAATAAATTTATAACCTCTTCAGATTTGGTATCCAACTACAGACCTCAAAGAAGTGTATGAGACCACTGTGATGATGAGTGCTTTGAAATGAAGTAGTCCCTCCAAGTCCTGATTTACCAGCTAGGTTGACTGGAAGGCACCACCTTTTTGGTTCTACAGCAGTGTAGGGGGCGTCAAGGTGTGCAAGGGTAAATGGGAAAATCATCATCCTACAAGAGCAGCTCCTGCTGGTAAGGGTGAGCAACTTGATGCTGACTGGGTTTGGAGGAAGAGAGAGAACAGAGATACCAGTTTTTCCAGAAGTGCTCTAGCAGATCTTTTTCTTTTCACAGCTGGTATTTTGAGCAGTCAGAAGTTTCATTAATTGCTTTCCATCTATGCCATTAAAGAAAGAATTGAAAGTTATTGCCAATGACTATTTTACGGTTACAGATATGAATCTGATGTTGCACTTTAAGGGACACCTTGAACACATGCAGTTATCTGCATTTATCTGCATGCAGTAGCAAAGGAAAGCCAGCATCTCCAAAGCCCATCACAACTGCTGGGCACACGCAGACCTGTGCCTGTGGTGAGGGTGACACAGGCCAGAACTGCTAAATCTGGCACAACAGTGGAGCAGTTTCCCGTGCCTAGTATAGCACATGCACACCTATTTGGGCTGGGAAATCCCAGAGGTTATTAGTTTGTAACTTCTCACCCTTGGCATCCCCGCACAAAGGCTTGCGAAGTCCTGGGGCTGTCTCTACCATACTCCCTCTTTTCAGACCAGCACACCTTTCCTTTTTCAAAGCAGGTATTTCCTCCTGGGGAAAAGGCTGCAGGGTCTCCCTCAGCACAGTCTGCTTGCCAAGCACTGTCCTGGGTGTATGGCACACAGCAGCGTGCAGGGTGTATTCAGTGTATATGGGATGGAGTGTACCATTCCATAAGCCAGTGCATGTACCTCAATGAAGCACAACTTCATGGCATCCTAATAGGGGTGCTTGGGGATGGCATTCCGGATAGGGAGTCAGTGCTCTGGTAGACAGCAGAAGAAGGGTGGGAATAATTCTTCTGTAGTGGTACAGATTTGCCCAGGTTGCTCGCCTGTCCAGTGCAGAGTCCCTGTCCAGTACAAGCGTTGCAGACTCTGTGCTGCAGCGTAAAGCAGAGAGTGGCCAGGAGGGAAACACTCTTGGACGCAGCCCAGAGCCCATAGTCCCAGCACAGCACCATACAGAAAGCATTCAGCTGCTTTCAAACCCGAAAGCTGATTTCAAACCCTGAGAAAATGGCTGAAAGGTCAATCACAGAACTTGCCTCTGAAATTAGACAAATCTGTATAAGGGTTTTTGACTGGCAGGAAGATTTGTTAGACTGTGATGTGACGGCACACGCAGGTCTAACAAGGGTTTTGACTGACAGGCCAGCAATTAATAAATGTGTCTTTAGGGATAATTAAGTCTGTTGAATGGCACTGTATTATTCGAAGGAAAAAAGGGTCACATTTTCAATTTTATCTTTCCTCTGGCATATGATATTGCATGAAAGATAATGTTTTGTTTATGATGCAGTGATCTATTTTCTGAGCTAACACTGTCCACGTCCTTTCCTCAGAGCTGGGTTATGTCGGTTTACGTGCCCTGGGTAGCCATCCAGATACAGTAGATGAATGAACCTCACTAGATACTCTTTAAAAAAAAAAAAAAGGCAAAAAAGAAAAGCTTATCTTTTTAAAGATCAAATTTCAGCCACCTGCAATCAGTTGTGTAAGAGGGACAACTCCCAAGGAAGAGAACTGCAGCTGCATCCACTTATTTTGC